TTACTTAATTTCAAAAAAAAGAAAAAAAAAGTAGCAGCCAATTTGTTAAAGCAAACCTGTATCAGAATAGCCTGCATAAATGAGATATGTTATGTTACATTTGGTGTTAATGCTATCTACCACAGACCTTTTTCTCATCTGTCAGATAAGTGGTGAACTTTGGAAATAAACATATTTAAAAGGAGCACTATGAACTTGATAACAGTAAGTATCACAGCTAACTGCAGTGTGCAAGGGGGTAGATATATACAGCATGACATGAACCGATGGCAAAGTACTGAACGAATGAGTCGGTGTGGTGGTGGACTATCAGCGAAATGCTGAAGGGCAATGACAATTGCTAGTGCAGCGTTGGCATGTGCAGTCAGAGTACAGTTTAACTGCAGCTGACCCATCTAAAGGGATCATAGTTAAAGACAGAGCAGCATGAGCTGATGAGAAGTCAGGATGTGAAAAATACAACGTAGCATAGAGACATCTGAGCCCATCTAAATGAGCTGAAGCAACAGAACTCGCAGAGGCATATTTGCATAGCACTTCACTTGGGCTGCTTCCCTAACAGACCACATGTTAATGACAAAGTTTAATATAGAGGAACTGGAGAAACAATCCCCTCTCACAGAAATACACAAGTTACAGTAGAAGCAAGCTGGAGAGAAAAAAAAACAGTAAGAATGGACCAGAAGAAAGAATTACAGTGGATTAAGAGCTACTCCAACCTCTACAGATGTGAATCAGTCCTCAGGAAAGACAGAGAAAATGCTGATGGACGTTTTAGGCATGTGCTGTGTCAGGAAGACTGGACAGTGGTGATAGAGGCTATGGAGTCAACAAGGACTGCATGAGACATTCCTTGATGCAATAAGACAATAAGACACAGCTGGCAGAAATGGATGAATAATTTATGTCAATAACCCAGTGGTGAATACAGCTTTACTGCAGCTTTACAGTGTAGAGACATTGAGGAATATTCCTGTGGTGTTGCCAAGGTAACCTGCAAGTATGTAAGTGTGCAATTCATATCAAACAAAGGAGAACTAAGGAAATGAGAGCCAGTATGTGCAGAATTTGCGTTTCCTTACAAATGAAAAAGCTGAGACTTTCAGTTGGAGAGCAAGAAGAGCTGGAGTAAAGTCAGGAGGAATTGTATGCTAGAGCTCACTAATTACAATGAGATGGCATCTCCTCCCAGGTTTAGGACCAACAGAGTAGGAACAGGGCACAGTCTGGAGAAATCAGGCTACCTTCAGATACACTGCTGATACACTATGAAAGGACTGACTGCTTCTTTAATCCCCTAAGTGCTACACATACATCTTGTGGCCATAGCTTTAGCACTGGTACTCATGCTACCCACTACATGTTTTTGTTAATTATTTATTATTTAAAATTCCGTTTCTGAATTCTGATTTGAATCATGATACCTTACCAACTAGAGCACCCACAAGCATTTATCTTTTCATTCATGCTACCATCTTGACCAGATAATTAAAAGAGGAACACAAATAAGTGGTTAACACAAATGAATTTTACTTTGCCAAAGAGGGACAGAGAAGTAGAAGAAGGGGTAAGACCACATACTCTGCCAGTTACTGAGGCTCCAATGAGATGTGACAGCTTGTTGAGCTGTGACCAGTTCCTAGCACTGATCTATCCTTGAAAACAAGCTGCTTTTGGCACCAGTATGATGCTGGACTGCTTAAAGCCTCTTAAAGCCTCCCTCTCTTCTGCCCACCCTCCTCTCTAACAGGCCTGTCACAGACAGCAGCAGAGCCACACTCACAGAAATCCCTGGGCTTCTCTCTCCCTGCCCCCCAAAAGGGCCATTTGTCCCACCAACAGTCACCAGAACTGTGACTGATTAAAGACAAATTCTGCATGGCCTGGCCCTATATAAGGGGAGGGAACAAAAAAAAATCTCACAATGATTCATAGAGGTAAAATCTAAAAAAAGCAGCATAATAACGCTAAGCAATCTAAAAAGATAAAAAGATAGGGACTCTTAAGGCTCTGTTTTAAAGCCCACATACTGGTAAGTAAAGCTAACTACAAAGTGTTTGCAGTGCTGATGAAATTTGGAGTATACAATGAGATAATTCACTTTTTACTAAATCATACTTTTGTGTATAGCTTTTGAACTCGGCAAAGACAGATGATTTCCCACGCTTTTCTGGAATATTATGCTGGAACATTACAGAGATGAAAAAATAAGCTTTTCATTGAGCTTCTATTTACTGTGGAGTATTTTGTTACTTAGTAGTCACTGTATTCTCCACCATTCACTGTGTGCAGATAAGGTTCCTGCATTTGACTGAAAGAGGGCTGATGCAGACAGCCACACACATGCAGGAGTAAGCTCTTACCAGGGTCAGTGGTGACTGTGTTCTCTCATGGAGAGCTGTCTCCCGTGTTCTTAGACCAGAGACATACACACTTAAACACAATGATGTCATTGTAATTCACTGCTCCACCACCTCAAGAGCCTTCTGCTATACACAGTTTTCACCTACTCACCAAGCAAAAGACTGAGGTGGGTTGAATCCAGGTGATACTGTCCTACCACCTCCTAAATCCTTTCAGTCCAGAATATAAATTTTCCCCAAAGTTAGGCTGAAATATATGCATGCTGAAATGTAGGCAGGGCATTATCTTTTCAAGGCTGCAGTTTTAGAATTATATCTAACAAAGTAAACAAACAGAAGATAACCTTGACCAAGCAGCAATTTGCACCAGGTTAATAAGCAAAATTATTGCACCAGCACGACATTCCAAAACAAGCTGCTTTAATGTCAGGACTTCAGAACAATTTACAAACCACAACAGAAATTCTAAATGTATTCTAGAGCTAGGGACAGACAAAAAAAACCCCAAACAACTGAATGTGTAATTTATTTAGGCCATAAATAAATGAACTGTTAAAACACTGAGAAGTGGAATACAGGCAGAAAAAAAGTGCCTGGACCACCTAAGGCAACTCACACAAAAGCCCTAAAAATCCAACAGATTTATTGCAAATATGGCCCAGAAATGTATAAACTTAAATTTAAAACTCAGTCTCCTTCAAGTCATTCTTAGTGTCTCAGATATTCATCTAAGAGTCTGTAAGCTCAAAGAACAAATACACTGGGCAAAAAAGCAACTCAGGATCCTCAAGAACATCCTAACAAACAAGTCTGACTGCTGTCTTATATCAACCCTTTCAGTCACATTCACCCACAAATCCCTACCAGACTCAGTCTCACAGTCCCTTTCCAAATATAGGACACCTATGAGTGACAGACCACACTTCCAAGTCTACAGAACCCATGCTGAGACAGCTGAACTGTCCTCCAAAGTAGGTTTCAAAATCTTCAGCCACAATCAAGGTGTAGCACTTTTGCAGAAGAGCCCTCTCTGTCACTCACTGCTGTCCCAATTACCAGACACTGCTCTGTCTCTTGGGAAGGGAATATCTCAATACTGCCTAAAAAAACTCTCCAGGAGCACAGAGCTCATACAAAGCCACAGACCAAGCCATGGCAATGTCACTTAGATGTCCTGAAGACATCATGGCAGCATCCTTTCTCCTGAAGGATGCTATTAGGATGGACTGCATGTGAGTGATACCTTCGGGGTACACTGCAAAGATGACATGCCAATCTCTACATGACTTCGGTCACAAAGGGCTGCAAAGATGCTGGTTACATTTCAGTTTCTGATCAAAAGTTTTAAAATGTTCCAAAGAAGTCTGCTGGACAAACTCCCCCAGCACTGCAAAGTTCGGGGACACAGCTAACAGAGAACCATGTTTATGGAAACTGAAAACCCAGCAGATGTGATTCAATCCCCTCAACCAGCACACCTTGGCATATCTGCTGAATACACTGTGAGCCTGTTTGCTTTCACAGAATAAAGGAGACATAAGCAAAGAGGAAGGGCTGTTGGCAAGCCAGCCTCAGACACTGATCTCAGAAGGGACTGGAATCACACAGGGGACAGAAGTGGCTGAAACTCAAGATTTTCTGCAAGAAAAAATAATTCAGAGTAGCTTTTGTTCTGCCTAAGAATAAAACTGATTTTAAGAATGTCCCACACAATGGGAATTCTGAAATATTGTTTTGAAAAACATTTAATAAAACATTTTTCTCCAAATTCCTGAATGAAGCACTCAAGTGGCTCAGAAAAATGACAATGGCTGGCAATAAATTATACATATATTTGAAAAAAATTATAGATAAATGTTCCTTGTTACCTTCACCTGCAGCAAGGAAAACCTACTCATCAGTTAATATTTTCCATTCAGCTTAATAGCTCATACTTTTTAAAAAAGACTACAAACTGTACCATGAATACTTCTTTTGCCCATGGGAAGAAATGAACTACAGAAAGCAATCAAAGATTCTCAGTGTTTGATTTTGCTTTTGCAAAACAACCTAGTTAGAAGTCTCTAAGGAGATATTCTAGAATCAATTGCATTAAATTATGTTCTGAGAGTCCAACAGCAAGTTGGAATATAAACAAAGCACAAAAAAGCCATGTTTCCCTTAGTGAAATGAGCACGTATTATTAAAAAGGCAATTTACAGTTAATATTAGATTGGATTCTGGTCTTGGAGTGTAAAAGTTGAAGTTTTGAAAATTATTTTGAACAATTCAACATTTAGGAACTGAAACACTCTCACTTGTTTTGATTTTTAGTCTTAAAGTGAAATCAGAATTAAGAGCTATTAGGTCTATTTCAAATTTCTTTCAGATCCTAGTCTGTTCCCATGATCCAAATCATACAGGACTTTAGCCATCAGGGGAACATAGGCTCCATCACAAGTGTATGTGAGCCCTTTCCAATGACTGAAGATTTGCATCACCAAGAAGGTATATTTTTTTTAAGCACTCTCTGCACAGCTGAAGTTGTGCTTACCATCTTTTAACTTGGCTGTACATATCACAGATCAACAATGAGAGAAGCAGGATCAAAATTCACTTAACCAGAAGAAAAGGCATCACTGTGAGCAAAGCACGTACCTTTGTGGTATATAAAACATGTGCTGCGGAGAGGGTTTGTAGAGAACTCCTTCATACACAGGCCACAAACCACTTAAAATTCTGAAGAGTGAACTCTTTCCACAGCCATTGGGTCCAGTGATTAGAAGATTCATCCCCTCCTGGACCTACAACAGCAAAAAAAAAAAAAAAGCAAAGATGTTACTATGCAGTATATATGGCATGACACAGCATAAGACCCCTAGAGGGAGTAAGGTGAGCATTCATATCAAATTATCAACCCATTTCATTGATTATCTGTACACAGTTATGCAACTATTGTGGAAACAGTGGCATTACATACAATACATGGCCTCAAAATAATGAAAATAATTTCTAGAATGTCTGAGTATTTCTATGAACTACACTGATTATATCACAATGCCAATACACCACAGTCAGAATCAATCACTCTAATGCAGATTATGTCCAAAGGTGTTAATGGCATTACAGAGCAGTGCTATGCCCACTAGTGATAAATTTAAGCTATGGGAGCCTGATCAAATGATTTGGAAAGTTTACTTCACATCACCCTTTCCTGTATCATTACCAGTGTTATTTTGGCTGTGATGCATGTGGTCTTATTCGTTTGAGTACTACCCTGTGCATAAATGAGTTTATATTTATGCATAATCACAATGTCATTGTCTACACTAGACATAAATACATTGATATGTTGTTATTTTCTGTTGGTTTTGTCTCTTGAGCCAAATGAATAAACACAACTGTCTCCTTGACCATAAAGTTGTAATTTTACAAATCTGAAATTCCTACACTGAAGCCATTACAAGTTTTGCCATAGCTAGGACCCTGTCCTCCTAGTTGCTTCTTATACCAGAGGTGACAAGAGGAACACTCTGCTTTAGCTAAATTAAAGGACCTGCTGGAATTATTCATGTCAGTGTGTGAGGAACTGCACATCGGGACACAGTGTTCTGATAACTTCAACTATTTAAAAAAAAATTTAATATCTGCACTAGAACCTAAGATTAGGATATACATGGGAGTAATCCAGCAAAGGTCAACAATTAAAATTGTGAGCAGGTACCGAGTGCTATCTGGAATGGCTTTTTAAAAACAATACAAGTTTTTACTGAGTAAAGACTCCACAGCTGGGCTTGTGAACTACGCTGTCAACTATTAGTACTGCTCTTTGTGGTGATCAAACAAAACTACAGACTCAATTTTTTCACTGTTGCTGTGAACCCAGACTTTTAAAGGAGCCTGGGTGAGTAAACCATCCCAAGTTAATTGAAATTAGGTAAAGATGGATGCAGACTCCCACGTACATATTTGAAAATCTCAGGTTGGTTTTTCACCTGGCAACAGCACCAGAAATCCTCTCTTCTTTTTCTTTGAGCAGGATAAACTACATATGTCTGCCTCTATTGAGCTACTATGCCTACCTTTCTGGACTTTCCCTTTTATCCATATGCTCCTCCAAGTACTTAACATAAGGTACATGAATTCTGTGCTGTTTATGTTAATGTGATGGCAACAATCAGAAGATTCTTGCATATCATCTTACTTTGAAGTTTAGTCTGGAAACCACCACATCGCCATTCGGAGTAATAATAGGAACATTTTCACAAATAATTCCATGATCAACATCAATAACTTTCCCTAGAAAGAAAAAAATAAAAAAGTTTGTGAAACCTTCCATTAAGCAAAGGTATGTCAGTCTCTGTGCATGGCTGAGAAGTTAAAAAGTTGTTTGAAACTCAACAATTTATATGTGCTCCAGGTTCCCCGAGTGGAAAATCTGAGTAATAAATCTTAACTAGTCAGAAAGACACTGTCAGCAGTAGCCAAGAGTGTGCAGTGAATCCCAAATTTGATCACACATATAATGCACAATATGCGTCATAAATACATAATGCACCATAAAGACATATTTATTCACATCCTACCTGAACTTACTGTATTTAGTTTTAAACAGGTGGTCAATTATCAACCAGTAAAAAAGTTCAAGGACAGCCTTAACATAGACCAGTTTATCTTCTCTTGAGGATTTCATGAGAAAACACAATCTACTTTCACTACTAGCTCTGAAACTCTCAGCCCAGTTCAGTCTCCTCCAGCAACAAGAGCAAAGGAGAAAACAGTTCATGGCTTACTTCCAACCTCTTTCTGAAGTCACAGACACTGTAAACGTGTCTTGAAAGTATTTGTGGAAATCCATCGAATATATTTCACCTCAGTAGCTACACTTACTGTTTGGATTTCTGGCAAATTTAAATATACAATCTCAACCAGACATTTGGATACTCTGTAATACAAGAGCTTATAAATAAAGTCTTCTGGAAACAGTAAAAAAAATGAAGCCAACTAACTTCTCCATTGCCTGTTGACAGGCTTCTCTAATAGAACATCTGAGCTCCTAGACAAGTATCAGAAATTGTCTTTACAGACCAGATGCAAAGGAAAGATTTCTCTTTGTATTAGAAAGTGCTTATTTTATAATTTATATTAATATGAACAAAGAAAAATGGAACTAAAGAAAAAACTGAGTTTATTATAAAAGGACCCGAGAGCATTTCTTTCAGTTAAGGTTAGTCTTATATTCTCATGAAGAGACTCAACATTTTTCAATTGCTTACAACTTCCCCAAGTTCTAACAACCTGGGCAAAAATTTCTCTGCTATGTATCAGCCTAAAGGTTCTTTATTTTCTAAAACAAATTTTATTTAAAACAGTTCTGTGTTGTCAAACAGGGGATTATGGAAAACAAAAGTGGTTTGCTGTTAAAAAAAATAAATATTATTGCAGCTTTGTAACACTGACAGGCTCTGTTGCCTTCAGACTCCTACAAAGGTACCTGATAAGCAACTGGGAGATCAACCACACCACAGCAGGCATGTATTTTTTGATGGGTTCATCCAAATGCAAACAAATTTGGCTAACACATACTATTGTGAAAAACAGTATTTGTGCAAGATGTACAAAATTATATTTAAACTTTAAAATTCTAAATTATTAGATACACTATGTATATGACAATATTACTATCCATTAAAAATATTCTAATACTCTTCATATTTTCACAATGTTCTCATTGACAACAGTAAATGCAAGGCACAGCACAGACATCCCTTAGTTACTTAAACTCATATTGGATGATTTAAAAGGAAATAAGTAGCATGTGTTGAAAAAGCCTTTGGGGAAGCTGAATATTAAGATTTTTCTTTTCTAACAATGCGGACACATAAACCTATGTGAGCACGTGTACTTTTATTCACATATAAATCCACTCTGCAGGGATTTCTGAAGTATCAAGACCAAAAGAAAGCAGGAAAAACAGTATTACAATGGAACTGGTCATAAAAAGCATGGAGCGTGTGGCCTAGATTCATCTGGCCTAAATTCTACTAAGTCCTTGTGCACAATGCTTGGTATTGGCTAACTGCCTCTGAGAGCCTACAGCCACTCAGGAGCAAATGCTAGTCACCACGACTTAGGCAGAATTTGGGCTGGATTAAATGTGTGACTGTAGTGGAATCACATCTTTGAAACAGGCTGCAGAGAGAAAAAAAAAAAAAAAAAAAAAAAAAAGAAAAGGAGTGGGGTACAAGTAAACTGGACCAAAAGGGAACACGAACAGCATGTTTGCATAACTGAGCTGTATTTGGTTTTGTTTTAAAACACAGTTATCTAAAAAGAGCCACAAAATTATGTTGTTGCTCCAGGAACTACAAACCTTTTCTCTTGTACATAAGAAAATGTAACAGCTCTAAAATGCCATTTCTTTTAATGTCAGACAAATATTAGCAAGATGTACAAGATTAAGACATGAGCTGTTTCCCCAGCTATCCACCACACCGCATCAGATTGTTTATGAAGAACTTTGTCAGAGGACCTTTGAGAAATCTGTACTGAAGGGCAGCACTGTTGAAATTCTTGAAAGAAGTTATTTCATAAAAAGCACTTTGGTGCCTTCAACTCTACTGAGGTTTAAGTTTTCAGAGGCCAAAGGGAGAGAATGAGGCTTTTCAATAGCAAAGAGGAGAGAAGCAGAAGGAGTCTGCTGGGCAAATTGGGAAAAGCCCATGGCAAAAGCTGCCTTTAAGTACCTCAGAGGGAAGTTGGATGCAAGAGGAAGAGAGAAGAGGCACATAACAGAGCACGATAAGAAATGGATGTACTCAGAAAATGCTTTGGGGAGGGTAGAGACAGAAAGGTAGCAGGAACAGAAAGATACAAGATAGGGACAGGAGGCACAAGGTATGCATTGATCAGACCATTTGGAACGTGAAGGAAAGGGTAAAGTTGTCAGCCCATTTTCAGCTGAAAATTCCCACTAAATTATGAAAAAAATGAGCACAGGCTGATTTTTAGTCGTTGAAAATGAAGTAGTATTTTCATCAAAAACTACTGGATGAATCTGTTTTTCCCTCCTAACCCAAACAAAATAGCGTGGCATTTGAAGATGAAAATGTTAGTCTGTTTTCTAAAAAAAATCATTTGAGGAAAGCAGGCACTGTCCACATAGGAATAATACCACCACCACCAGTAACAGTATAGTTGAAATGCCTTTTTCATTTTCACAGAAAACATTTGAGCAATTTTGTGTATTAGGAAAGAACTGCATAAACACAGAGTTACAAAATAGCAGGAGGTTAAAATGGAAGGCAACACGGTCTCTGGAGCATTAAGGCTGAGAGGCTGACTTGTAGAAACAAAACCCCTGTTCGCCTCCTGTCTCACTGCAGTGGCCCCACGCACAGCGAAATACATACAAATATGAATTAATTACCTTTGATTTCTAAGGGCCCATCAATGTTTAATTCTGCTTTGTCTTCATTCTTGCTGTTGTTTTCAGACCCTTGAATAACAGCAGTTCTTTTGTAGATACCTCTCTTCACCTCATCAAAGACCGAGAACATGTTGTAGACACGGGCAGTGTAGCCTGCTAGCTCAGTAACCTGAGAAACAACAAAAGCCTGATTTCAGTTATAGTTCACAAACTCTGTAAATGAAATGTTTGGCCAAAGATTCATGAAAAACATTCCCAGCTATTCTGAGTCAGTGCTTCTCAAATGTTACTTTGGAAGGATCAACAGCACGTCTTTTGATGCCTATCAATTTTCATTCCTTGAGATTCTTTGCTAACCCATGTGACACCCACAGCTCCTATCATCCAGAAGACAGAGACAGTTTGAATGGGACAGGCTTCAGCCAACGTAAGCTATGATAGCTCCAGTAAATGAGGAGGTTGCAGGGACTGCTCTTTTCCATGGATCAGTAGAGTCTTCAACCAGCAGAGAATAGCTATCAGCATATCTGAAAAGAGAGAGTCTATCATACATGAGAAAAACAAAATCTCTGCATTTGCCTGCAAAATAAAGGTCCACAGAAGTTAGAAAAATTGGCATCTATAATTATTTATGTTCCCTTTCCTGTATTCCCAAAACCTCATGTAGCAAAGGTGTGCTTTTCTGTGTAAAACAGGCAGCACCGGGGCATCCTAACGTAAAATACAACATGAAAATGAAATCACTCTTTTCTTAACTGCATGCCAGAGTACCAGAGCTAAATCTGAGACCCTGGATTAGAACTGGGCATTTTTAAGATGGCAAGGTCTATTTAAAGGCTTTCTCAGAATTTTTTTTTTGTTCTTTTGTCATGATTTCCACCTGATGAAAACAGAAACAACAGATCTCTGGACCCGATAACTTCCTATTTGTGGGCAGCAACACCACCAAGAGCTCTGAAAGAACTGCCTCCACCTGCTGGCAGCAAAAAATTAAACCCAAGCACCTTATAAATGTATTATTAGATGGTTTTAAAAGATAAATTTTTATACTAAATACAAGGAGCAAGACTAGCAAGAAAATTAGTTCAAGATTATAAAATCATTAGCTTGCTGTGGTTAAACACATAAATCCCATGACTGAGTTCACCTGCTATGGGTGCACATAATTCCAATATAAAATCCTCTAAAAATTTCACTATTTGTGCCAGATTCAGAAGTGAGTGCTTGTACTGGCCATGTGGCCATCACTCCACTGGAGGTTAACAAGTATACAACGTCTAAAAGACAGTTTAAAAAGAGTAATCACTCAATGTTTGAATTCCATCAGCTGTACATTGTTTTGCACTACTGGTAATTGCATTAACAGCTGCAAAAAGTATTGGGCTAACAACACCTGAGGCAGCAGGTAGCACACAGGAGCTGTAACATCATTCTCCACACCAGAGTCTTCCTAGCACTTCCAGTGGGAGCTCATGCCAGGACTGAACGCTCCGCACACTGTCAGCATTGGCATCTGATGGAGAGAATCCTTCGTGTGATGAACAAAACTTGTACCAACTGCACCCCAGAAGAAATGTAACTTGTAGTAAAGTTCTAAAACATGATCCTACAAACTCGCTTTGTCAAAACTCTAAATACTGCCATCTAAACTACTGACCTGCAAAGAAAGGTTGAGCTTGAGTCATCTGCACACTGAATTACACCAAGTGGAAGGAGAGTGGATCAAATGGGCAAAAACTGGAACTTCACTACCACTTGAAGTGGATAGAAGTGCCCTGTCCTTTGGAAACTGCCTGAATTGCAAAATGGGAATGACAATGTCGTTAAAGTACCACAGTGTCACTTGAAGAGATGTATAATTGTAAAATTAAGATGGAAATTCATAGAACTGGCCTTTGATCTCATGCTGTCTGGATTAAAATCTCACCATGTTATAAACAAAGTGAGTTTGTTCAGTTGTTCCTAATACTTTGTGGGTATTTTTGTTTCCAAAAAATAAACCCACAGTGTTTGTAAGTCCCTATGTGCATTATATAAATGACTTAAATGTTGAAAACAAAATAGAAATTACATCAGTGTATAACAAGTTATCTGGCAGTATCTTTAGAGCAGAGGCCAAGCAGGGGAACAGCTAAAGGAGCATAGGTTGTAGTCACAGTCCATTAGAAGAATTCCTGAAAAAAGCAAATACTCTGTCTTTGTCAGAGCCCATATCTGAAGGTGTCAAACTACCCCTCCTCCTCCAATTTACAAAGCTGGAGCTGTTATGGCTGGATTCCAAGTAACGGAATCCACAGCCTTTGATAAGCTGCACAGCTCATGCATGTCTCCTCACACTGCACTGGGAAAAGGGGTCCCCACCAAAGGGACGAGCAAAAACCAATTAACAACTGCAGAACCAACATTCAGAAGGAAACGCTGAGGAGAATAACAGTGCTGCCTCACTTTTCCTTAACAATGGCACCAAGAGAAACCCCAAGAGAGAGCATAGATGAAAGCCCAACTTTACTGGAATTTGGGTAAGGACTTGAAACATCATCTCTGGTCTTCCAGATAAACATCCCACACTTCTAGACTATTTTCTGTCCCAAGCTAGACTTTTTCCTGCTAAAATTTCTCTACTTTGCAAAATTACTTATAATTTAACAAATTCATAAGATACTGAAAACAGCCCCACAGTTTAGGTGGCCAGGAAATATGTATACAGTTCTCTTTGTGCTTCATACAGAACATGACGCTTCCAACAGAAAAGTCCCAATACACTGGAGGCAGAAAGCCTGAATTCAGGTCTGTGCTCCAAACAGAGGAGGAATTTGAACCTTTATCACTCACATTCCAGGAACTTCTATTGCTCTCTGATGGCACCTGAACACAGGTATTAAAAATGACATTTACATGTTGCACCATACTGGCAGCTGTGCACTTTAGACTCTTTGTGGACTTAACTCTAAAGATCAAACTATCAGTTCAAAAATCTCCATGGTTTTAGTTGCAATAGAATTTGCCTTTAAAAACTGCACTTTCTTTTTTTACATTTTATATTAAACATAAATTCTGTTTTACTTTTTTTTCTCTTCTCTTCTCTTTCATGTATGACAGATGTACAGTACCTCTTTGTATGAAGACATAATCCTTTCAATAGCATCTGCTCCAGAGATCAGCAAGTTTCGTGATGTTGTAAAAGCTTCTGTTCTTTCACTAACCATTGCCTGTTTCTGGCCATCTTCCAATTCTAAAAGTAAAAAAAAGTTTTCTGTTAAAATATTCTTCTGAAAATTATCTCTACAAATTAAATTATGATTAGAATGTGAGACATTACAGAGCAGCTTTTAAATTAAGAAAAAGTTAACTCTATGAAGACAACTTTTCAAAAAGAATTGGTGAATGTAACTAGCATAGATAGCTTGGTGACAAAGAATAATTGGGATTACATGGAATTAATCTTCTTATACAAAACATCTTATTCTTTTTACTATTTGTCTATCTATATAATATTCCTTTTAATATATCATTATTCAACCTTAATTTTGCAAAATGTGAAACTGAAGCACTGATCTGAAATAGATTTTTAATATCATTTTTACTATTTTTGCAATTATTCATTTTCAGCCTTACTTATTTGCTGGCTTCATGTAAAAGGAAACATTTACATTGATGGAAATTTGGCAACATGACTATATTTCTGTAAGAAAGCAATATGCTCTGTTATTACCAAAGGCATCATTTAAGTAGGATACCTCTCTCTCACAACACAGTTCCTCTCTTCATCTAACTCCAGAACAAAGTTGTGATGCTTTGTTTATGTCACTGCATCCTATTAGCAAGGAAACTCTTGCTCCAAATAAAGGAGTTGTCTCATAAGAACGTGTCAGCAGCCACAGGCAAAGAGGAAACAGCAGCAGAAATTATGGAAGATACATGAGAAATAAATGTTTACATTTAACATATCTACACATACTCTTGCTACCACGTGGCCTGCAGATTTATGTAGCACAGTCAGCTTGCAATGTTTGCTTCCTGAAGGAATCAAGATTTAAAAAGAAGAGGCTGAATATTTTAAGACTGAAAGTTGTTTCAGTTTAACAGTTGCATCTACAAAAAAGAAGACAACAATGTGTAGCAAACAACTCTTAAAGATTTTTCACATACAAGACTGAGAATGAAAGGTCTCAAGGGTTTTCTGCATCACATAACATATATATTTTTATATTGCTTAATTTTGTTGCAGAACAGGGTCTGGATATTTTTTTTTTTTTAAGTTTGTAAAGCTTTTTAAAGTTCCTTTTTTAAGTGAAGCTGCTACTAGGCATCAGGCTAGGCAGGGTAATAGGTGGATCCAGTGTGGCAACTCCTGTATTGGCAATTGTTATTAACATCTTCTGTAATGCTTGCACAATGCTTACAGTCAAGACAATCTAGGAGGAATTCCCTGCAGGTGTAATGTGACTGTAAATTTTATGGGCTAAGTCAAGCAACGCAAGAGTATAGCAAAAAATACTTTTCTACTCCGTAACTGTCTCACCTCCTTGACAAGATCCAAATCTAGAAATCTGGTGTCTAGAAATCTACATGCAGTACCAAAGACAGGTGTCTTCCTGTCTTTATTAGTTAAATCTAAATGTTATTTTGGTTTTATTTACACATCCATAAAGATATCCCTACATAACTATATCTGAATCACAGAACATACTATGGACAATTGGGAAAAGCTTTCTTTAAATTCTTACATGATAGTTTTGCATATATATATATATATATATACACACACATATACACACACATCCCATCTATATATTTACACCCCATCTATATGTTATTTTTCTTGATCTCAGATTTTTTTATATCAGTTTTAATTTACATGATAGTTTTGCATATATATATATATACATATACACACACATCCCATCTATATATATACACCCCATCTATATGTTATTCTTATTGATCTCAGATTTTTTTATATCAGTTTTAACTAATTGAGATACATGTTCAAACTTTTGCTTAAATTATACAACAGCACCACACTGTCAACTAGTTGTATGTAATCCAGCCACCTGAGACACAATGAGAGGCATGCTTTTTTTTAAAGAAAAAAAAAAAAAAGAGACAGAGAAAATCTCTTGTAAAGGGAGAGAGTGCAAAACTCCTGCTCATGTAGTTCTCACTTATTTTAAAAAGTCATTTCCACTCCAAGAAGGAAAAAAAAAATGAGGGGACAGAGAGAATTCAATTAATTTATTAGTAAAAACTAAATTGAAATTTGTTTCTTAATTCTCAGAGAACAAATTTTTGCTCATCTTGTTGAGATTACAGCCCATGTTACGCAGAACCACGAAAATTAAATCATTTAGGAATCAGCTATGGCATAACGACACTAATGCAGCATTCCTCCTATATGTAAATGCTGCTTCCAGCACCCAGGCTAGCTCATCTAGCAGGATTTCAGAGATCTCTACAAACCACTGCAGCAGTCATTGCAGGCATACTTTTAGGGGTATTTGAAAAATTAAAATTATATAGAATTTATGAGCATTTCACCGTTCCAAAACACAAGCTCTTATATTACATGTCTAATCCACCAAGATTACTTTTCTTGAACTTTTCATCCACAACTTTTCAAATGGCTGGCCTCTGGTGTTTGAAGAAGTGGTGCATTGTAACAGGGCAGACAGACTGTCTCAGTTTCATACAGAACCTAACATTTCTCTTTTCATCTTCATTTATGTAATTGATAGTCATACTTGTTTTATAAACAAAGATAAGCGTTCACTGTGTCTAGAGAAATCAAAGTCTTGCTTTCAAAAATAGTTACTTTCCAGAAACTGATGAGAGACATAATACAAATCGAATGAGAAACGTTATAAAGTGGGAATCTTGGCTTTGCCAGTTAATTTCTTCCCTGAAATATGTAACAGAATTAGCAAATTCCAGTCAGAAATATCATAGTCGTGGAAGATTTTTTTTTCTTGCAGGATTTTTTTTTTTTTTTACTTTTTTTTTTCCTCCCTGCCCCTGAAGAAGTGTACAAAATCTATTGCTTTCCACCTTTAGTCTCAGCTCTGGTCATGGTACCAGTTTTGTGCATTTCCCTGATTCTGGTAATTTATCCTAAAGTAATAAATCCACTATCTGTTCCTTCAGATATGAACAAACTTGTATCTGACCTGCTGAGGCATAAAGCACTGTCTTCCCAAGCAGGCCAATGCTAAGTTCAGGTCTGCTTGATTCTTTGAATACCTGTTATATTTCAAATTGGTCTTGAGAGTGTTGATTTGTCAGTATTATGTTTGCAATCTATCATTACAATACACCTCAGATCTCCATAATAAGACCTGTGCTTTAATGTTTTATGTTGCGGTTGGCAAATATTCTGCCACTTTACAACATGAGCCACCACTGCGTCTTTCTTTTCTCCCACATTTGAAAAGTATGCAAAGAATACTCTTGAGTAACAGGAATGGTATTTAGTTTAGCATGAATACAAGTCTATTTTTTATTCATGCTGTAATAACAAGGAGATATTTACAATGAGTGGTTAAAATATTTTTTTCTTGACTGTACTCATTCCCGTCTTAGCACAAAGACTCTTCCTACTTTTTCTGTTGTGCTGATAAACTTCACTGTGAGGTGAAATGGCTTTGTAAGAACTTTTCTGTTCACAATAGGACCTCCTGATATTTCTGAAGCTGTTACCGGGGTCCTGATACAGTGTCCTCCTGAGCCATGTGAAGGGCAGTGGCTCGGACAGTTGAACACCCAGCCGTGTGCCGACACAACTGCAAGCAAGCGAAACCATATGGAGGCTGCACAAAGTCATTCTACAGGTCAAACCAAGCTTGTCCAGTTGGACAGCCCTGACTTGGAATGTAACTACTCAGATCTGCACTGAAACAAATTCACGCATTCCTGATTGAATGTGCCCAACATTGTAGGTTCTGTGCTTAAAGATCCTGTGGAATTTGTAATACATCCTGTGGTTCTAATTGTGCATAAGGAAGCCTCTTGAGGCAAACTTCCCCACTTGTCTTTCATTATCCCTCCTTAATTCCATTTCTTTCTGCCCTTTTTTTAATAACATCTGCAATAACAACACTACTTGAAGTCTTGTCTCATTTCCTAGAAAGCTGTGATGGGATGTCAAAACTTGTACTGTCCAAGCCTGGAACCTGAATTTCACCTGCTCTTCTCCCAGGGAGTCAGGGAAAAACAGAGGTTCCTAACACATCAACATATAAGAGAATAATTGCCTATAATTACCCATAATTACACTATGATTTATGGAAGGAGGAGATAAGCATTCTAGGAAAGTTAATAGTATCATTTAGTAAAGTAGCAGGAGATGTTGCAAAAATCAGCCTGACAACCCAACAGTGGCTAGTGAATAAGGACTGCAATTATCATTATAATCTCATTTGACACGAAGACCCTCTAAGTCCTGAATTCACGCTGTTCATCAAGCTTATGTTCAAAGTTGTACCTTTCACATTACTCTTTCCTCAGCTGACTTGCTGTGCTTGAAAGTTAAGCACAAGACATGGACAGGGGGGTTGGAACTAGATGATCTTTAAGGTCCCTTCCAATCCTAACCATTCTATGATATGATTGTAATAAAGTCTATGAATAATAAATAGATAAGAATGGCATTCAGGGCAAGTACACACTTTTGAGGATGTAACTTTAAAGAAACATTTGAAAATTAAATAAAAAACTGTATTACCGCCATCTGCAAATCCTGTTGCGGTGATGATGGGCACAGCGACCATAATCATACCACAGCTGCTCCAGACATACTTCATCAGGAACTGCTCTATCATGATGTACCATAAACGTTTGGACAAAATGAGATTCATTTGGTCTGCCAAAGCCTTGTAGCTTTTCTGTAGTTGTTTCATTTCTACCTACAGTTAAAAAAATAAAACATTTATTCAAAGATGCACATGTCATACAAGATACATTCACAGACATGCATTAAAAACATCAGGTACCCAAAGCTGTGACTTCTGAGTCACATCTGCTGCGTGGCACTTTATTTTCAAAGTGCTGCAGTTTTCACAGAAGTGCACAGCTTTATGGAAGTCAGTGGACCTGGTTCTTATTCACGCCATCACCCCTCAATAGCACACTGGCAGGTTTTCAGCTCTTTAAAGATGACTGATATATACAAGAACAACATACAAGGCAGTCACAACATTCTAACAACCAAAATAAGATTGATTCCACATCCCTTTAATGACGCTGCAGCTGTACAGTTTCACAGCAAATGAAACTCCTCCTATTGGAAAGTGTTTGGGGATCAATTATCTCCAATGACTTAAAGCTGCAGAGCTGATCCCTGAAATACAATGCTGCTTGGTTTTGTAAGCAGTCTGGAGGAAGAGAGAACTATCCCAAGAGGTTTAACAAGTCAAAAACAGTCGCAAATCAATATGATACAATGCAGTTAGTTCAAGCCAGTATATGTGGGAATTGAAAAAATGTTTAATTTAGCTGCACTTAAAACATTACTATAGGCAGTTTTTGAGACTGATTGCTTCTACCAAAATAAACCGCTTACATTATATAATCATTGCTTGGACTGAAGGAGTAATACTTCAGGCTGGTTTCCAGCTTTCATTTTCACCTTACATGAAAACATTTTTTTTCCAAATTGTGTTTGAAACATGTTACAGCCAAAATTCACTTCTAATAAAAATATGAAGAGTTTCTTAATAAGGTGGCTTTAAAACAAGCCATTAGTTTATGTAACTGTGACTGCTGAAGTACTGTACTTAAGCTATTTTAAGACTCCGATGACTACATCTTTGCTTAGCTATGTAGACAGAGTGTCAAAGGTTGTAGTGCTCTCTGTGCTATCACAGTTTTCCCCTAGACTTTCTGGTGTGCCCTGATGCTATTTCCGCAGCATTAAATCTGGTAGTTCATAAACATCAGTCAAAAAAAAAAAAAAAAAGCCTGGAAAAGTTAGGCGGAACAGACTGGGTGGGGGAAAAACAAGAACAGAGATTAGCTTTCTAGAAAAGCATAGGATGGAGCTGCAAAACAGGAACATTGTCAGAGCACAAGGGAACTACGGTTCACTCCCCCCAGATACCGCCTGTGAGACAGCATTTTCCTAGGAAACGGGAAGTGCTAGCTGTAAACAGGTTTAAGTGTCAGAGGGACCCAAAATGCTCGGGCAGGGCAGCAAGGGAAGTGCAGGTCAGCTTTGGCACTGCAGGAGCGACCCCAACACCCTCCAATTTCTCTCCTCCTTACCTTGTGCCCCCGGTAAAAAGCGATCTCTTCCACGTTGGCGATGATGCGTGAATGCATGAAGCGCAGGTAGCCCTTCTTGTGTGCCTCCTCAGCCACCAGCTTGCCAAACTTGGGCGAGCAGGCTTTGAGCACACGGGCTGTAGCGTAGACGACGAGCCCAGCCAGGAGCGTGGGCCCGATGGGGTTGGCCCCACGGGACCGCGCTGTGCGGATGAGGGTGTAGGAGGTGAGCACGACATCCAGGATGGGCTTGGTGAGGTTGGAGTAGAGATGTGCCACGGACTGCGAGAACATCATGATGTCCTCGGTGAGGGACTGGTCAGGGTTGGCCAGCCGCCCATCCATGCTGATCACCCTGTAGTAAGTCTGGTTGGCAAAGTAGGTCTCATAGGCGTGATCCACCAGGCGCGTGCGGAAGGCGAGGGCCAGCTTGCACTCCAGGTACCGTATGGTGCTGTTCACAAAAGTAGCCGGGATGGCAATCATCAGCCATTTGATTAATTTGAAAACAAAGCTCCTGGGCTGTTTTTCCACGATGCTCTTCACAATCTTCCCATCGAGGGCTGCCACATAGATGGAGAGGAAGGTCCTGGAAACCAGGGCGACCGAGTGGAGGCACAGCAAGCCCAGCTCGGCGCTCACCAGCTTTGGGAAGAACAGCTTTCGAAG